GCCCCCTCCTTCCCTCCCCCGCTGATTTATAAACCCTCTTCAAACATACAGTTTTGTTCCAGCTTCGTTTAATATCCAAACATCCTCAATATCTCCTCAACCCTCTGGATAATACTTCTGGTAACCCCGCGTCTTCTAACCTCCACATAATGTTCACATCTTACACAAATAACCCGCACATAGGAGTGAGAAAAGCTTACGACGACGTTTTGATTCGACTTGCACCACTGATAAGGTCACACTAACACAAAAGAGCGAGGAATCCAGTATATATAGGCGAGGGAAACAGGGACGGGACCAAGAGAGGAAGAACAAGAAGTGTTAGCATGTTGTTCCACTCACGGTATTGTGTCTTTTAACTCTTTATTCACACCTTGTATAGTAAATGCCGTAGAAACATAAAACTTTCTTAGGATTGCTAACCCTGGAGAGTTAGTAACCCAGGTTAACGTAGGAAAGTCAAGCAGTGTGGCTGACCTTGGTCTGGGACCTCAGCTTCTGTCCACTGATGTAACCCACAAGTGTTGACTCTGACCTGTGTAGTGCTCGAGGCAGCGGCTGTAAGGTGTCATCTTCATTTCGTTTTAAGCGGTGTATGTATACAGAGAAGTATATGTATAAACACCATCAGGTATGTATCTCAGTATGTATATACACAGAGGAAAGTCAGTGTGTGTATACATCGATAATTTACTTTATTTTTTATTATAGCAAATAAATTACTCATGTTATAATTATTATTACATTTATTATTTTATTCATGGGGTTTAAACAGCACTTGACGAAGGATGTTGAGTCGAGGTGCGCAGTGTAGCCAAAATAGCGACGGTGGTGGTGGGTGCTTGTGGCTGTGGCAACAATTACAGGTGTTTTTAGCCTGATCTTGCAGTTTTAATATTTAATTACCTCTGTAGCTTAATGATGTGAAGGCCTAATTACACCACTTAATTACCTGTGAATACTGGAGTCTATTTCGGACTGGTTGTTACTATCTAAGGTGTTGGATAAGACCCCCCTACCCTACCCCTACCCTACCCTCTCTCCCTTAACACTCCCCTCTTACACACACACACACACACACACAGGGGACGGGGGTGAACACAGTGACCAGTATATCACCAGAGGTTCACACAAGTGAATAACCTCTGTAGTCAGGACCATCTTGGAGTACGCAGCACCAGTGTGGAACCCACACCTGAGCATGATCCTCTCCTAGCATGAGTTGCAAAATACGAAATACTTAGAATTTACAGGGTAGACTGGGATAGACTGAGAGGCGAGAAACAGGTACATGGGGGCAAGGTTGAAAGAGGAGTCATGGGGGATGTCAGGAAGTAGTTCTTCAGCCTTAGGGTGGTTAGGAAGTGGAATGATCTTGACTTTGATGTGGTGGCTGATTCCATGTGTAGCTTTAAGAACAGGTACGACGGGGCCCACCAGGCTAGGAAGAAGTGAATCTGACAAGCAGGTCCAGGAGCTGAGACTCAGCCACATATACTTAGGTATCTCTCTCTCTCTCTCTCTCTATTTTGCACTTTTGTTATTTCATTAGTTGGTCCATGTTCTCCACCAGCTGGTTCATGTTCTCCACCAGCTTGTTCATGTTCTCCACCAGCTTGTTCATGTTCTCCACCAGCTTGTTCATGTTCTCCACCAGCTGGTCCATGTTCTCCACCAGCTGGTTCATGTTCTCCACCAGCTTGTTCATGTTCTCCACCAGCTTGTTCATGTTCTCCACCAGCTGGTCCATGTTCTCCACCAGCTGGTTCATGTTCTCCACCAGCTTGTTCATGTTCTCCACCAGCTTGTTCATGTTCTCCACCAGCTGGTCCATGTTCTCCACCAGCTGGTTCATGTTCTCCACCAGTTGGTTCATGTTCTCCACCAGCTGGTCCATGTTCTCCAGCAGCTGGTCCATGTTCTCCACCAGCTGGTCCATGTTCTCCAGCTGGTTTATGTTCTCCAGCTGGTTCATGTTCTCCACCAGCTGGTCCATGTTCTTCACCAGCTGGTTCATGTTCTCCACCAGCTGGTCCATGTTCTCCACCAACTGATCCATGTTCCCCACCAGCTGGTCCATGTTCTCCACCAGCTGGTCCATGTTCTCCACCAGCTGGTCCATGTTCTCCAGCTGGTCCATGTTCTCCACCAGCTGGTTCATATTCTCCACCAGCTGGTTCATGTTCTCCACCATCTGATCCATGTTCTCCACCAACTGATCCATGTTCCCCACCAGCTGGTCCATGTTCTCCACCAGCTGGTCCATGTTCTCCACCAGCTGATCCATGTTCCCCACCAGCTGGTCCATGTTCTCTACCAGCTGGTCCATGTTCTCCACCAACTGATCCATGTTCCCCACCACCTGGTCCATGTTCTCCACCAGCTGGTCCATGTTCTCCACCAGCTGGTCCATATTCTCCACCAGCTGGTCCATGTTCTCCACCAGTTGGTCCATGTTCTCCACCAACTGATCCATGTTCTCCACCAGCTGATCCATGTT